TTTATCATATAAATAGAAGTTTAGAATCAAAAGATCATGTGTTAAAACTTAAAAGTGTAAAACTAAATAAATTAGTTAAATATTTGTAATTTATAAGCAGGCCCACTTATACCGGGTTTTTACAGATATAGGGGCCCACCTATAATGGTTTTCAAAGAAACAAAAACCGAAGAGTGATACGTAAATAATTGAGACTGGTCCAGAAACACGTGGAAGAGAGAGAGAAACAGAAAAGGAAAGTGAGGGTTCTTTATTCGAGATATATGGGACCCACTCGCCCGAGGAACAAACGCGAAGTTGTTAATGGGGACAAAAATGGTCACAGTGATGTGTGACTCGCTAGTGCCTCCAAAACCTCAGAAATTGTCAGTGCTTTGGCTTTATTATGTCTCCACGCGCTACTCTAGGTTGCGTACTTACACGCTCGAAATCTGTTGGATCTTAGGCTCTGCAGGTGTCGACTCGACACGTGGTACGATTCTAGTAGGGCCGTGAAAGAGTGGGACTCGGTGAAAGCAACAGCCCATGGAGGAGGACCTCAAATGCATTTCTCCTTCTTCTGAGTTCTGAGTAATGTATTTGATTCGGCACCCCAAAAAAAAAAAATTATATATATATATATATATATATTTGTAGGAAAATTCAAGAAAAAATTTTATTAAAAAAATGATAATAAAAACTCTTTTAAAATATGTAAATAATAATTTAATTTTTTAAAATATTATAATTTTATTAAAGTTTTTAAATATTTTTTATTAATAAATTTATATAAATAATTAAATTATTTTTGTTGAAAATAAAATAATTTATAAATTTTTTTTAAATAATTATAGCTTTCTTTCTTATATTTACAATAACATAATAATAAATTACAACTTCGTATGTTAAATTTTTAATTTGTTGTATTATTATGAATGTAAGAAGAAAAGTTGTGATTATATTAAACAAAATTTGTGAATTATTTTATTTTGTAATTTGATTATTGATATAAAATTTATTAATAATAGAAAAATCCTTAAAAAATTAAGTGAAATTATAACATTTCAAAGGATAATCAAATTATTATTTATATATTTTATAGAGATTTTTTTATCATTTTTTTATTAAAAGACCAAAAATATAACATCATTACAAATAAGACTCCAATAAATATAAAATTTCATCGTAGAAATTTGGACCAAAACTGAAAGTAAAATGTCAAGCAAGATGAGGGAAATAATCTTAACTTTCTTAACTTTATATATTAATTTTTTATTAGTAAAATATTTATTTTACATGTTAATTAATTGAAATTATTTGACAACTTATTAAATAATTTTGTTACTTGTTAATTTTTTATAATTACTTGTTAAAATATTTACTTTACATGTTAATTCCCTTACATTACTTGATAATTTAACTCAATTACTATACTTGTTAAATGTGTAATGTTACTTGTTAATTTCCTTTACTTATTTGTTAAAATATTTATCTTACATGTTAATAAGGTTATTTTAGTCATTTTGTCTTGTATTTTGATGTCAATATTTAGGTTATTTATGATCCTTTAATAAAATTCTCCCAAAATTCAATTTCCATTTAATAAGTTAAAAATAAATAAATAAATAAATAATTTTTTTAAGAGCGTGAGGCCGTGCGAGTGCGAGTGTGAGTGTGAGGGAGGGACTCGGTGAAAGGCTGAAAGCAACGTCCCCCGTTGGACCTCAAATCGTGAAATCCATCCACCTCTCTCCCCCCACCCCACCCCCCTTTCCTTTTAATTAGATTATATTTATTTTTTTAAAGAAATAATTCCAACGCTTCCATAATTAATTTTTAATAAAAATATGTATCATTTAAAGAATTTTTAAAAATCCTTGATATATATATTTTTTAAAAAGTTATTGAGGACACATCAATATTAGGACGTGTCTCCAAATCTAAAATACACTTATAGAGATATTTATAAATTATTCATCAATAAAATTCTGACGTTAAAAGTGGGATTTGAACTTATAATTAGGAGTATTCAACTTGTATTTGTCTTAATTGATTCGGTATCATTCCGATCATAGTAAAACAGGTCTCGTCTTGGCCCAAAAACAATCGGGACAAGATTTTGTGAGACGAGACGAAACATGATATTATCATCGAGACATCCCGTCCTAAATAATATATATTATTTTTTATTTTAAAAATTATACATTAAATATATTAATATAACTTATATTTATATTAATTATAGGATTTATAATTTTAATACGTGCAATCCTTATTTAAAACTCAAGTTTTTTATATTGATAATTTTAATGACATAGAGTAACAGGGCCATATCTTTTTTTATAATATATTAATTATATTAATACAATGATTTGATGTTATGTTTAACTTGCCTGTTGTTGTTGCTCTTATAGCCTACTATTATAATGTGTATTTGTGATTAATGTAATTGAATAATTAACTTTAAATTGTTATAATTTATGTATTTATGTTGTTTTAATTTTAAACTTAATAAATTATATAATTTAAAATTTTAATGAATGTTATTATCAAGATTTTTTTCTAACATTATCTGATTTATTAGGACGGTGAGACATCTCAATTCCTAACAAAATAAGACGGGACACGAGATAAAAATTTAATTTCAATCCCATCCTGTGAACACTCTACTTACAATTTTATGAATTATAAATCAAAATTTTTTACCAAATTCTTGTGACATTGACACAAAGATTTATATCATAATATTTGAATTATATTTTTTTCCCTAAACAATTGGACTCAAGCCCAATTTACAAAAACAAAAAAGAGCTACAAAAACAAAAAGAGCGTACAACGCAACAAATTAAACCTAGCGAACACATTACTAAGTCTAAGCTGATCATGAGTCTTTAGTTTTAAAAAAACAAAGTCCATTTAGTTGCCAGATAAAATAAAATGGATTAAAATAATAAAAATAAAAATAAAATGATTAAAATGTAAAAAAAAAAAAAGATGAATCATATTCATAAGGAAAAATGATAATTTAATTTATGAGATTAAGAGTCATAACTTATGAGATATTTAAAAGGTATAATGATTCTCACATTTGTAATATATAGTATTAAATTTTATCATATTTACTGTGAAAGAAAAGGATGATTCAATTCATTTTTGTTTTAACTTGTTCAATTTATTTCATTTCTATCTATTTTAACAATTAAACGAGATATAAGAAGACTTCCAAAAGGGCAAAAAAGAAAGGTAATTTTACTTTTATTGAGTTCAAACAATACAACTTCTCGAAAAGTTGAGTGCCAAACTTGTTTGTTATGGAATAGTCAGGAAGTAACTTTTCGAGTAGAATCTTGGGAAATAGTAAATTCTCTAGTGTTTTATATTTACTCCATTCCAATTTATAAGATAAATTTAGATAAAATTATGCCTACAAATATATTTTATTGACATTACTTTCCAACCTTATCTTTTGAAAAACAAAAATATAATTTTTTAAAAATACCCTTTATGTTATATAACCTTAAATGATTAAAGAGAAAAAATGATAAGGAAGGAATGATAATATTGAAAATGATAAGATAATATACCCTTTATCTTATATAACTTTTATCTTACTTTCTTTGGTGATTAATAGATTGGACCATCTTTTTCTAGGAAAAAAAAATTAAATCTAATTTTTGTCAAATTATATTATATTTTGATGCATCAAATTACGTGCAATATTTTCATACATTTTAAGTATAACTTTTATGCCAATGAATTGCAGCTCAAATGGCAAGATCTCCTCCCATTGACGTAATGAGTTCTGGGATCATCCCGAGCAGCCGGCGAATCAAAATGAGGAACAAAAATTGTGAAGTAGGTGATGTGTGTATTATGTGCAATGCGCGCGTGTGGAATTTCCATTCCTATATGGAATATGTTAGATAAGATCAAAAAAAAAAAAAAGATTATACTCCCTCCTGTCCTTTCAATCATTTCACATATATTAAGAAAAATTATTTTTTTCTTTAATACTATAAAAAATAAAATGTACTTTTACTTTTGTCTTTAATTTTAAATCATAATTGTAATTAAATACCTTTTACGTTAATCAATAAAAGGATAAAATTTAAAAAATAATTTAATTATTATTAGGTATTATACATTTTGGATAAAAAAAATTATTTTTAAAAAATATTCTAGAATTGAAGAGAGTATAATATTAAATTTGTTAAAAACATATTCAACAATTTCAATTCTACCCTTATTAGTAAAAGGAATAAAAAAAACCTTTCACACAGTTCAAGAAGTCAGCTGTCAAAACTCTAAGATAGTGTTTGGATTGGTATATTTAGATTTACAATTTAAATTTAAAATCTCACATTTTAAATTTTATATTTTAAATCCATGTATTTAAAGTTCTTTACATATGAAATAATTTAGTTAGGAGAGGTTAACTCATTGTTCTTAGTATTTCAAAAAAAAAAATCTCTACTGTTGATAGAACAATTCCTTGTACTTAACAAAAAGGGAAAAAAAAAAATGAAGGGGACAGGTTTTCTGAAATAATGGGCTTGAGCTACTCCATGATCCACAATGCATGTACATACTCCGCCCATTCTATGTCTATGTAGAGCTCTCTATGCCAGCTCCGTTCGTTTGGACTATTCACTTATGCCTTCATTTTTTTGTTTTTTGACAGTAGCACTTAAACGTTATTTGGAGATTTTTGTATAAAAAAATTTTGGACCAAGACTTTCAGCCCTTCAAAAAAAGGCTTGAGCTCATGCTAATCCTTTTAGGCCCCATGTTTTCTTCCAGTCAACAAGTTGTGGGAATTGTTAAATATTGTTAGAAAAAAATTAATATTACAAAATAACATGGTTAAAACTGTTTGGTTTATTTTAATTTTTGAAAATAATATATGAAAATTACAATCTATCTATTAAATTGTATATTAACATAATTAGAAATTTAAATAAACAATAAAAAATTATGTGGGTTTTCAACCTAGTGTTAAGCCCTATCAATAAAGGCTAAGCTTAAAAAAACATATTTAATTTAAGACACAGCAAGCTTACAAGCTTGAGCTTTTAAAAGACCAAGCCTTTAAGAGTCAAGTTGGCCCTTAATCATGCTACATCTTTGAAAGTGATGCTAACTTTTGCATGTACAAGATCTAAGTTGGAGAGGGAACGAAAATAGACCTTGTTTGATTATCCATTTTCAAAACAGCGTTTTGTTTTGGGGGGGAAAAAATAACCTGTAGTAAAATTCTCAACCATGCCAGCCATGACAGTTTTTCTTCATCGTGCTTCGTACTGAACAACTGCACAAAGCAAATAATTTGCCTCAGCACTGAAGAATGAAGATAACTTGCATTTATAGGCTAACAGTTTGAGAGAAATAAGATCGGTGGATCATAACTTAAACCCAGGATTGAAAATCATGGTTCAACATGGCATGCTCTAAAAAAACTTCAATCAACTCCCTCCGGATAATATAAAGCATCTTCTGAAAGCTATATTTGGTCCAAGATATAGAACATCACGTAGTTTTTATAATTATTTTTTCAATTATACCCCTAGTTCATTTATTACTCTTTCTAACAAAATGCATTAAAATTTCAATTGTTACTATTAAGGGATTTATGTAGGATATTTAATGAGAATAATTGAACAAATGTAAAATGTTTTTAAGAGATTAAGGATTTAACCAACTTTTTTTTTTTAAGAACCGTAAACTAATTATTAATGTCCTATATTGTAGTCTAAAAAGAATATATAACAATAAAAACATGAGCAGCAAGTATAGACAACAACAGTTTGAGAGAAATAAGATCAGTAGATCACAACATAAACATAGGATTGAAAATCATGGATGGATGTCGCATATATACTCTAAAAAACTTGTATAATTAACTGATTTACTCCCTGAGTTATAATATAGGACATTTTTTAGAAATCCTACTTAGTCCAAAATATAGGACATTAAATAATGCATTTTCAATTGTTATTATTGGCATTTAGATATTTAGTTATCTAAATAAAATCTAGAAAACTAAATATTTAAATAAAATCTACACAATATTATTAAATAGAAAAAATCTAGCATGAATTAAAAATAATATTTATTCTTAATGTTTCTCTTCCCTATTCACTCATTATCTCGGTACTCTATCATTTTATAAATTCAACTCTCATCCGACAAAGTAAGCATCCACGCACAACATATATACTGCTTAATATATAACACAATTCCTTCAACCATTAAGGAATTACTTATTATATATAGGCATCTAACATTTAAGTGACATTATAACTAATATCAACCATGGGGATATTATAAAAACAGAATACTTATTTTCCAACTCCTGATGGAAAGAAAAAGATAACACTACAACAAAATTCCAGAGATAACAGAGCTTACTGCGACGAGTACGCTTTTTGTACAGGATTCGGTAACCACACTCTCGGCACTGTATCACATCACCTGGTTTAAGAGTGTTCTCCATCCCACAATCTACAAAAACATCAGGAACAAAATCCTTAAATGGCTCAAATAACAGGGAATTTTTTAAGGAGATTCTAAATTCCAGAGGATCAAGATCAAATGAAACTAATAAAAGCAACTCAACCACACTACGTATTTTTCCAGTATACTCAATCAACAACCAAAGAAAACTTGAAGAGTAAACATACCTCCACAGATGTAGCTAGCAGGTTCAGGTTGAGGATCCATGGCTTTAGCGAATTGCAACAAAGACAGACAGTAGCCCTTGGTCTTCAGATCAGAGTTCAACGCACATACAATGTCATGCAAGAGAATATAAGTAAGTTTAATGCACATATTCTAGGATTAGAAAGTAGCAAGTAAGAATGATCTCATAATCCAAGCCCCAAACTTGGAAGAAAAGTGCTTCTATCAAGTAAGAAACCTTCAAAGCTTATGACCTTATTATCTCATAATCCAACCCCCAAACTTTCAGTTTCTTTTCGTTTTTACTTGGGCTTTAAAGACTCTACAATTAAAATTGAGCACCACCAATTAAAAACCAGAAAAATAAAATTTCACATGAGAATACTCCAAACATAGAAATATTCTAGTTGTGAGATGGAAATCTTTGTTAACATGCATTTTAAAGAAATATGGAGTCCCTTCAAGGACATCCGATAAAATTGGAATAATACAGAGAAGTTTAACATGCCCCTGCGCAAAGATGACACATACAAATGGAGAGAAGAAATACTGGCCATGAAGGGAGACCAAGCTTTGATCAAAACACATTAAAGAAGAGAAACATTATCCCTTAGCTGGCAACTATAATGCTATTCCATCCAAAAGATGAAACAGAGACCTAAAATTCCTTTTTAGACTTAAAAACACATAAAACGATTCTCTTAAGTTATTCCCAAAGCACCAACATATATCCGATTAAGACCCAAGAATTTATCAGTGAGCCATTGCAATAACGGTCAAAGTGCCATGCAACCCTAAGAAGACAATGAAAATACCTTACCTTCACTGTTCAAAAGATCCGTTCATAATTAAACTAATATATCTTTAATTTCAGACATGACAATAATACTCTCTCCCTATTATGAGATACTTCTAATTACTTCACTGGATTAAGAAGAAGCGGTTAAATTATTAATTTTATAGAATAAACTCTGAATTTTATTCCTATTTAAATGAAAACTTTTGAAATTTACATTTCATTTTCTATTTAAATAGGATAAATATTGAAAAACGTAATTAATACAATATCTATGTTAAGAATAAAAGAACAGTAGAACACAAGGCACCCTATATTACAGAAAGGAGGGACTGTATAGGAAACAAAAAATTTCAATGCTCAATATTCAAATTGAAGGAAGCCAACATCAATCCATGATCACAAAATGAACTTAATAACCGAGGCCAGACAATTATTTTTCTTAATTATAAGCTCCAAAGTTTGAAGCCTTCTGAGTTTGTCAATGGTGTTATCAGGAATAGGCGCAGAGAATCTCAAACCAGGGACTATCAACTCAACAGATTCTTTATTAGCATCACCAAAAAAAAAAAAAAAACAATGAAATGAACAAACAGAACTAAAGATTCAAGTCTTGGGAGGATGATGCTAGACTCAAGTTTTTCAAGAATTCAAACACAAAGAAATCTCCGGTGTTTGGTTGCTGAACGTACAATGCTAAAAAGAAAAGAAAAAAGTCTGAAATGAAATGGAACAAACTGCTCCCAAACTCATTCGGGGTGATTTAAGAAAGTGTAAACCCACCTTCCAGAAAGTTGGAAGCCAGCGCGAGAATATTACGGAATGGAGAACGGATAGTTTCAAAACACAAAAGCAAAAAACACAAAAGCAAAAGTTTTACCGCACGGTTTATGAATATCCATTAACCCAGAGAAATAGAAAACCTTCACCGGTTTGCTTAAACCAATGAAGATGAGAGAGAAGCAGAAAAAGAAGGAGAAGGAGGAGAAAAGAGATTGGGATCAAAGGAGAGCATAACCGACTCACCGAAATTAGGCGGCGGCCGCGAATTGCAGAGCTGGAAGCAATGTAAAAATGGCCCTCCACTACAAATAATACTCCCCCAGTCCCAAAATAACAATGTACTACATATCAATAAAAATAAATATATAAATTTTCAAAAGAACATTTTTCATGCAAAAGAGATAACAAAAGATATTAAATAAAAATAATAACGTTCGAATAAGTTTATTAAAAAATATTAATTTTGTTAAAACATTTTAAAATATATTTTGGGATGTTGAATTTTTTTAAAAATATATTATAATTTAAGTCAGAGGAGTAATAATTAAAAAAGGAAAAATACTTAAAAGGTATTTTAGTTTTATTTTAATTTTAACTTTACTTTTCCCTAATTTTGTTGATGTACTAGTTTTTTACGTGGTTTCTTATCTTTTCATTTGCTTTGAGCTTTATTTAAAATTTAATCCATATAATTCTAAAAAAAAATATTTAAGAGAATTTTGGGATAACCTAGACCGTGTTAATTTCACCAAGATAGAATATTAGATGACTCCAGAAAAATATATTGACCTAAAAAAATTATAAAATTGTTTAATTAAAAATTTGATTTGATTAAAAAACGGGAAAAAGAATTTTACTTCCTTAAAATAACTATGTCCAACTGCAAGTAGGATGAAGAAATGCATTAGAGAATTCAAAGAGCATTGTTATAAAAAAGAAAGAATTAGAAGGGCACTGAATCTTTGTCAAACTAACACTATTATTGTCAACTCATGGCTAATCATGGCTAGGGTGTGTGCTGAGTTTAAGGGAAGGGAACATTTTAATTTGAATGTATTTTTACTTGTAAATAAATATTTAAGACATTTTAGTCCCTCTTCCTCTCTTATCCCCCCCTTCCAAAAGCATCTAATGCTGGATTTGTCTCTGGAAGGGAAGGGAAGGAAAGGAGAGGAGAAGAATTTCAATAAATTTTTGTTTGGTTTGGGAAGGGAAAGGAGGGGAGGGAAATCAATAATAAGTTAATAATTTTATTTTTATTAAATCTAAGCTTATTTTTATTTTTTATTTTTTGCTTTAATTTATTATTAAAAAATAGATATGTTATAATTTATTAATCTTTTTATTTAGGTTATGAACTTATATTAATAACATTTTTTTGAATAACAAAGATTTAGGTTTGAATCAAATTTTTCATTGGATATATAAAAATTTATGAATTAAGATTTAGTTCAAATTCAAATCTATTTCAAATTATAATTCATTTATAATTTTAAATTATCTATATGTTATAGTCATTTGAAATTTTAATTATTTTAAAAATTGTTTTCTTAATGTTTTCATTATTAATACTTTTATAACTCTTATACAACTCTTATACCTTCTTTCATCTCTTTTCCATTAAAATATAAAAATAAACATGTCATTTATATTTTTTAATTTTTTAATTTTAGTTTATTTCTCTTTTTTATTTAAATTTTTTAAATTTCCTAAATAAATAATTTTAAATACATGAATTTTAAGTGTGAAATTTAAAAAATGTAAAATTTAAAATTTAAAATTCAAATTCAAAAACAACAATTCAAACACCACCTAATATTATATTTTATCAATTTATCTAACAAAAAAATATCTGTTTTAGATATTAAAAAATTATTTATTAATTTTTGTAAAGTGTTAAAATTTATTTTATTACAATAGAAGGGAAGATAATGCATAATTTTTTAATATCAATGATAGTTTAGGATTTTTAAAATAGCAAGTCTGTAAAATAATTTATCGTTGGATGGGTCATGAATGAAAACAATGCCGTGTCTATCCAAGAATTTCCCTAATGTTTATCCTAACCATCAAAACAAAGTCAACAAAAGAAATGAGAAACCATAAAAATAAATTAAGTGGACTAAAAACACAACTAGAATAAGGTATAATGAATTAGAATAGCATTTTCCCTTAAAAATAAATTATTAAATAATAAAATTAAAAAAATTAATCATTAAATTTCTGTAAATTTAATTTGAACAGAACTCAATTTTTAAAATTCAGTTGAAATTTAGATCAGCTCCATGATACATAGCATAAGAAATAACTTACCTCGTTCACAACTTATTAACAGCAGCATTTACCTCGTCTTTTTAATTATACTTTGACGTACCAAATTTACATTAAGAGAAAATGGAGGTTATACAAAACAAATTTATAAAAGACGACGTAAACTCCACCAAAAATAAAAATTTGCTACAAACTGTTTGAGAACAAAACTATTCATAATTTTTACAATTGCTAATAAATGAGGGAGAAAACTGATACAAGATTACATCATTCCCTCACGAAACCAAGTACGTACAGAACTAACACAAGTATGTATAAAGTTGCACACTACGGAGAGATCATCATCATTCTGCTTTCCCAGCAATATGGTGGCCAGTCATAATCTCAGATATTGACTTCTTGAAAATTCCTGAGTAAATTACTGTCGTTCTTGAAGGATCATTTCTCAGTTTGGTTCTTCATAGTATGACACATTAAATTCTGTTTCTCAACAATTTTTTACCCAAATCATTTTCATCCCCCATCAGTTGAAGCCATGGAGGCTAATTTCTCAGTTTGGGGCAAAAATTATCGGGGAAAATTACTGAGAAACTAGATTGAGAGTTACAATTTAAAAGATCAAACTTTTCAATTCTGTTTCTCAACAATTTTTTCCCAAATCATTTTGACCCCCCCATCAGTTGAAGCCATGGAGACTAATATCTCAGTTTGGTCTTCTAAAGGCGTAAAGTTTATTTGGGGAAAATTACTGAGAAACTAGATTGAGAGTTACAATTTAAAAAGATCATATTACGAGGTTAGGTGTGCTTCATACAAGAAAATAGTAATTTACTCACAGTCCATAAAAATTGGACACCAGTTCTGGTTCACAATGCTGGACTGGACATATATTATTATTTACCACTGCATCAACGTCAGCACAATAAGAGAAAACGAAAGCCTTCCTTTCAATCAATAATCATCCCTGTTTCTGCATTGAAATGACTTTTCCCGTTAGATTCAGATAATTGGTCACACTGACCTGCAGAGAGTCCAGCACGTAATATGGATTCGGTACATGAGAAACATTATTCAAATTTAGCATCAATCTGACTTACAGTAGGGAGGTTAAACAGTATTTCTATCTCTCTTCATGTTCTTGGAATTACAAAGCATCAAAATCTTAACCCTCCTAGCTCATGGAATCATCAACACTGAACTCTTACCCCATCATTTTGAAAATCACATTCAGGGTGCAAGAAATAAAAATCTTGAAAAGTTAGTTAAAAGAATTTGCTAAAGTCACTTTACAGAATTTTCTTAAATCACTGAAACAATGTATCCTGATTGTGTTGAAATAAATAAGTCAAGTTTGCAATCAGATGCTTGAATGTAATATACCCATCACTACAAAATATGAAACGTATAACTGTTTACAAGCTGTGAATAGTGTGGTTCATTTTCGATTCTTTATACAAATGCATGGTGGCTCACTTGAGTTAACTTAGAAAGACAAGAGCCTCATAGTAAATGAACTACGTTAAACAGGCATTAATTCAATACAACATAGCTTTGTGGAAAAGAATATTCTTAAAAGCACTTGTTTTCGAAAAAAGGATAATTCAGAGAACGAGGGGCTTACCCCAGCAGCTGAGATGACGCAGAAGAGGAGGTTTTGCTGAGTTTGATTGGTTCATGTGATATTTAGAGAAAGGGATTCTAATTCAGTATTGATGATAGATTAGGGAACGAGTTCATATTTAAATCAGTCTTGCCTTGATAATATTTACCATGAGAGAGGACATGGGGAAGAGATGAAGATCTGGTGAACAGTAGAAAGTTAAAAGGGTAAAAGAGACAAAGAGATGTGTGTCTCAGAAAGAATACGAAGGAAAGTGAATGGTAAATATGTAATAACACTACAAAGTAAAATTTGATAAGAAATTGTTACTGATAGGGGAGAAGGATGATTTTCTTTCAAGTTCGAGTAGGAAGGATGCCAACTGATAAAATTACTGGATGCGCATTTACACTGAGCATGCTCATTCAAATCCTTAGTTGACCATCGTCGGGTGAAAGAATTATAGTCATTGCTAGTTTGCAAATCATGCAGAAGCAATCTTCCATGAAAATGTCGCCATAAATCTCTCTCATTAAAGAGCAGAACATTAGTGATAATTTAAACAGCACAGAAACAGAGGTAGAATATTTAACTTCTTACTAAAAAGTTCAAAATATGAACACTCACCTTATTGCCAATGCTACCTCTTGGGGAAGAGCTCCTGCTCTATGGACTCAAATTCTTTTAAATTGTTAATTACATGATGAATTTTTTCAGAAAGCTTGTCATTGTGCTCTTCAACAACTTTCATAAAAGCAGTTAGCTGTTCTTGGTATATAGCACACAGCCGCTTTTTATTCCGAAGCTCTGCCGTTAATTCCTGTATTTTCTTATCCTTCTCATCCTAAAAAAGAGCAATAGAATAGAAATACTTGACTCAGGACATGATTGCAAATTCATCATCATTTCTAAGGGATGCAAATTAAATGATAGTATATCATAAAGAACACATGCAATATGATCTGCTTCGTATGTCCACAACAGAATTGATACTACTTGAATGTAGGCTTGCAGAAGAGTTTGCCAGTGAAGGAGTTCATGTACTAATGTGACTATCAGATTGGTTTAATAAAATATTTCCATCAAGGTACCATAGATTCGATAGAAATACTTGTCTTCAAAAGAAAAAAGGTTATTTATGATGGGCATTGCTTTGCCTTCATGGATGTCACATTTAGGTGGATAGCCTTATCATATTCACCATTGTTCAGGGAAAAAGATTTCACATTAATCTTCCTTCATAAAATTAAATAGAATTTTCAGCTATAAATAATTAATCTTCAACCTGCTGTCCCTACAATGAAACGGATCAACTGATTTAATACAACAACAATAACAATAACAAGCCTAATCTCACTAAATGGGATTGACTACAAGGATTGCATGATGCTGTTGTAATCTATCATCAACTAAGTTTTTGAGAATATTGTTAATCAAGAGATCTTGTTCAACAACTTCTATAAGCATTCTTTTTGGCCTTCCTTTATCCTTCTTTACAAAGCTCAAGACTATTTATTCCATTCTCTTCAGCAATGCCTCCTAGGACTTTCTTTGTATATGTCCAAACCATCTCAAATGATTTTCTACCATCTACCATCTTTGGATCAATTGATTTAATGGCCCAGAAAAATAGGTGACTCGTGTCCTGCATTCAACCTTTTTACTGTCCCCAGTACAAGCTATTCCAGATTTTAGGCCTACTAATAACATTTGTGTCTCAAAGACCATGATCCCAAAGTATCATGACTAACAATTTACTTCTAATTCATGCTATTAGAGGGGAGAAAGAATTATTCAAGTTTAATTGGGATCAAAGGCCAAGATACTTGGATTTTTATTAATCCCCTCATATGTTTAAATATCATAATTTCAAAATCATATGAAATTTTATAGCCAAGTTTCATTTGATTCCAAAGTCATGATCTTGATGGGTACTCAAGCGGGATAAGAAACCCTCCCCAAAAAGCTAGTTATTGAGGTGAGACAACCAACCCAGCTAAATGCCCTAAAGAGCATCTTATTCCACTTGATGTGGGACTTAGCCCTCTATGAAAACTGAAAAGCTAACATTCCCATTGTTATACTCTATGACACTTTACTCAGTAACATTCACTGTACTTCCATGTTGGTTAGACTCCATTATAGGTAGTCCTTTTCAGAACCAATAGCAACCCGTTTTGATACCAATTGATGTGTACTCAAGCAGGATAAGAAACCCTCACTAAAAGGCAAGCTATTAAGGTGGGAGAAAGAACCCATTTAAATATCTCATAAAGCACCTAATACTACTCAATATGGAGCTTAGATATCCCATACTATCTTAGGCCATATAAGCAAACATCTCAAAAGCATCAAATTAAGAACTTAATTCACTTATCCACAAGCAAGCATTTTTTCGAGCAGTTTGTCTTTTAATGCAATTTTAAATTTGAAGTTCCATTAAATTCAAAAAGAATCTTATCACCAGCTTACCTTCTCTCCGTCGGACATCATGCAAGAGACTAGTATATGGCTTTTCTTGCACTGTATTATACAAAGATTAACTAGGGAACAATGTCATAAGCTATTTAAAACATTCACTATAGAATCACCAAGGCAGAAAACAGTGATTGCCAACCAATAGAAATGACGTACAGACACTACTTGTATTGGAGAGTACATTGGACAATAGATTGAAGTCCCAGCAAATTCATTGTTTCTTAATTGGTAAGATTCTTTTTGCCATCTTACTTTCTCCTGTTGAACATCATGCAAGAGACTGACATGTGTTTCTTGAATCATATGACAACAAGATCAATTCACAAACATTATCATAAGTTGTTTATAGAATTCAATAAAATAAGCAAGACAAAAAACAATAGTCACTAACCACCAGTACGAGCATAACAAAAAATTGCAGTAGACATGTTCAGAAATTTTTTAGTATACAATCAAATAAGGAATATAAACCTACCATTGTTTGGCGAGCTTCACGAGGAGAAATTATCAGTGGGTGATTATGATCTTTCACAAACTTAGTTATCACCCATTTTCCAGACTTATTATATTTGACATGAATCATCGCCTTACAACCTTCTCTTGTGCTTGGCCTTTGCTTTCGAACTGGTCCAAATTTCCCTCGAATGCTGACACAATGACCCTCCTTGTTGCACCCAAGCCTACGGGCAAGAATCCTTCCATCCCTTTCAGAGCGTCTACAAGACATAACGCGCATGACAAACCCTACATGTCGAGCATATTCATCATAGAATATTTTAGCAGCATCTTCAGATTCAAATTCCATTCCCTCGTATGGTTCTTGGATGGCATGATCCCCACAAATACCTAACTCTCCCTGAGAACTCCCTAACAATCCACACCTCTCATCTGCATGCCACAGAACAATATCTTTATCTCTCAAAATATGCACTTCACTTTGCAAAATATAATAGAAAACACACGAGCATGGTGTGTGTTACAAATAGCAAAACCAGTCATAGAAGGGCACATGCATATTCAATTATTTTATTTGCCTCTAGAGTACCTCTCCCCTGAAAAACAAGAAAAAGAAAAGGAAGGGGAGCAGGACGGAAGGAAGGATGAAAAAGGAAAACCAAAGGTCTTCAGTGAAGCTCCTCCAAACAAAAATTGAAACTATTACTTTTCAATTTTTAAAAAATGTAACATGCACAATGAATTAAGACATTGAAAACATAAGCACAATATCAAGCAAATCAAATGTTGCAAATAGAAATGGAAAGCACAGCTTAGATAAACCTATTTAACTATTGAGATTTGATCATAAATTTTTATATTAGATGCAGACATCTGAGTGAAGCAAGCATTGAAAATGTGCCATACATGAAGCTCACAAGAAGAATTAATAGAAGCAATTTTCATGATCTCTTATTTCAGATTGCAGGACCACAAAATGATGTTGAATAAGTGATTCAGAAGCAGGAACGCCGAAGAGATACAATGCACCCAAGAATCACAGAAAACATAAAAATTATGTAAACATGCTACAAACAATAAACTAGACCCAACAATTTCAACTGCTGAGATGAAAATTGAAACAGAGTGACTGGGATTTTAGTAGGGTCGTTTAACAAGTTTCAGGGTTGTCAATTCAAGATGTAAAGGTGCACTTGCTTCAAAAGCTGCAATGTTTGTCAAGTGAACTTAAGCATGATAACTTCAGGGTCAATACTCAATCACCAACGAAAGCTCTCTTTATGTCCCATGTGATTTCCTTCATTTACCCAGTTTCTAGTGTTGATTGTTCAGCTTATGCTAACCAACATAATATTGAAAAAAATGAAAAATAATGTTTGACATGTACCATTTTCAAGTACCTCAACTTGAGTCAACGTCATGGACATTGTGGCACACCAGTGAAATAAATATTATCTATTTTGGAAGAAAATAAGGGACACTAGGTTTAGAATTGCAGAAACTTTAACAATATAAATAAATAGGTATATATTATGCATACAGAGATAGGGGGGAGAGAGAGAGAGAGAGATGGAAAAGATGCAAGTTTTTACCATTATAAATGCATTGCAATACAATATTTCAGAAAACAATCTTTATTTGATTCAACAAGTTACCATTGTATGGTTCTTCAATTGTTTGAACTTCATACATGCTAAAACTGGCATTCCCAGAAGCTTCCATTCCCCTGTTATCATCATCTATGTGGCCTTCCATGTTGCATAATACAAGATATCAACACCCTGCAAATAGAAATCGCCTAACAATCAAGGAAATGTCAAGAAATAGCATATTAATATACAGATGAAGCTTGAGAGTTTTATTTAGAGGAATACATTTTAAAAGAGAAAAGAAGAAGCTGCACATGACATTCTCATTAATATGAAGCTTTCTTATGGTTATTGAAGGACAAGTTTATTTTAGGCCATTCTATAGTGTCGCAACAAATGATAAAGGGCTAAAGAACCTAGAATTTTCTCTCCCTTACACTCAGTTTAAAATTGAATCTACTGTGAAGAAGTAGAACATCATTGTAAAATGTGATTCCTTTTCTTCACCAACCCCACACTTTTTGTGCACTGGACAGAAATATTAAAGCTCCATCTGTTCTACCATTCTATTTCCTTACCTTTGATCTACAGCTGTTGAGCTTCAGATAGATAGAGAATAGGGTGAGAATAATAGCTAGGACCTAGGAGGATGTGAAACAAAGAATGGGATCATCTATTTAGGCAAAATATACTCATCTCTTCATAAATAGAATAGTAAAAAGATGTTTTGACCCAAACAGGGAAACTATGTCACGTTCAGAGTTTGAAATATTAAAGAGCTTAGTCCTAGTCAGCTTTTAGGCAGGGTAGGGCACGATGGCAGGTCCGGTCAACTAGGCGATTTGCCAATACAACCCCCCATCCTATTGCTGGAGTGTTGGAGAGCATAAACTTTCAAAAAGAAATATGAAATAATAAATTACTCACATATCGAAATATTGTCTAAATATTTGGCTCAACAGAAAACACACAACTAAACAAAGAAGTCATGACCGGAAACTCGTCATACAATCCAAATTATAAAGCAAGCGTTAAAACACCAAATAAAAGAACAGTAGAATATTTGGAAAAAAAAATCTGAAAATAATTTTTGTCATCTAACACCAAACACAATCAAACATGTATTCATATTTAGCATCAATAACATCAAAAAAAAAATATTTTTGACAAAGACTTGAGCCAATAAAAGCTACATACAAACTTCAATAAACAAAGAACCTTATTACTTCGTTGCTGTTGAATAAAAGCAATCCACAACCACAGTCAAGTCTAGAAACCATACTGAATTCAGCTCATGAACAACAAAATCAGGTCACCAACTCAGTAAGATCATTAAGGACGACCGATTACCTGCGTGCTGGAGCAGAAGAGAAACGGCTCCACTGTTGTCTGCTTTGCCTTCAACAGTACGTTTCCGGTGAGCTTGGAGTGGTGGTATCAGTTTTGAATTTGAGAGGAAAACGGACAGAGACCAAGCTGGCCTTCGACGACACTGTCGTAACCGGCGTTCGGCCGGCGGTGGCGGTTATTCGATTCGTCTCGGCCTCACCGGCTCAGTGAGTGAGAGTGAAGTGATGGTGGGTATTGTGAAATCTTTGCTCCAAAAATCTGGGCCGTGCAGCGAGAGAATCCGGAATAAAGAGAATTAGTCGGCGAGACCGGCAACGAGCTAAGGAATTTAAAGGTGGGAAAATGGGCTATTCCTTTATGTTAAAAAATGATCAAGCTCAATTTTTATTTAAAGAATTTAGACCCGGCCCCATGAGCTCATTTTAATGTAAAAATAAAAAATTTAATAAAATAAATAAATTAATACAAATACAAATATAAAATTTTAATCAAGTTTTAAAATAAAAATAGAGATTTTCAATTCAAATCAATCTTATTAAATTCAATAAATATAAAAACTTGTGTATTATAGAGAACAATATTAATCAAACCCAAAAAATGAACTTTATAGGGTAATCATGTTTAAAAAATTAATAAAAAATATGCCAATATTATGTTAAAATAAATAGCAAAAGAACCAACATAAATTATTTTGACAATGTAATATTTAAAAATCATAGATCTTTAGGAAATATGGTTTGTAGTGCAGCTCAAGCTCGAGTCCTTTTTTCAGGTTGAGCTTAGAAGTTTGATTTTGCAGAAAATGACTAATTTTTTAAGCTAAAACCTTTATTTAAATAGAGTCTCCAAATCTGACTTTCCAGGCTTGGTCCTGATTCCCAAATCTACTTGGGACAGGTTGGGAATTGAATTTTTGGTTTGATATTCATTTCATAATTAGCCCAAACAAACACTAGTGTAGAGAGGGATATCTACAATGGTTAAATTTAATTATCTTCATCGATTAATACAATCGGTGTAGATAATGATAGTATCTACACCAGTTGGACAACCAATATAAATAAGTTTTTAAAAATTTAAATTAGCCCAAATGAACACTAGTGTAGAGAGGGACATCTACAGTGGTTAAATTTAATTATCTTCATCGATTATACAACCGGTGTAGATAATGATAATATCTACACCAGTTAGACAACCAATATAGATAAATTTTCAAGAATTTAAATTAATTTTTTTTTCTTTTTAAAAAACCATTGTCCACACCAGTTATGGCTTTAATTAATTTTTTTCTTTTTAAAAAAACTATTATCTACACCGATTATGGCCAAGTCATAACTGGTGTAGATGAGTTTTTAGGAATTTTAATTTATTTTTTTACTTTTTAAAAAGCCATTATCCTGTTTATGGCCATAAGCCCATAACTATTGCAATGCCATTCAAATACATAAGGCTTGGTATTTTAACCAATTTTAAAAATATTTTTGGGATCCCAGTTATTTTAAAAAATTTAATTTTCATATTTTTAATATTTGTGCCTTATGGTAATTTAGAGCATAAGGACTTCTAATTATCAACAATTTGATAATAGTGAGTATAATTTGGGACTGTTAGGAAGGACATTGCACTTCATACATACAAATAACTTTTAATATTTATTTTTCTTCAATTATTATTCCGTATGCAAACTTTGATTTTAAATAACTTATTCTCTATAGTTTTTTTATGTTGGCAATATCTTAATAATTAGTCCAAATATAGAAAGTAAAGTTCAATACATGTATAGAAGAATCCATTAATCTAAAGATATCAATCAACTCTATTTTTCATAACTTCTGGCAGGCATGTGATTGGTCCAACCAAGCTGAAATATCATTGGTCCATTTCTCAATTTTCTTTATCATTACTGGTCAATGTCAATTAATCCTATGTTTAAACCTTGGTTAACCTCTTATGTGTTCACACTGAGTAAATACAATCATCCCTACCCACATTTTTCCCTCTAAAAGGAACCAAAGCATTGTGCCTTTATTTGATAGGTCTTCTTTTCTTTTCAAATAAATAAATAAATACAATTTTTACATTCCTATTCCCTCATAAATGATTCAATTTAATGTAGTGCCTTCCCAATATCTTTATTAGAAACTTGTAATTTTTTATTTATTTTTCAATCTAATTTATCCAACAATTAATTGCAAATTTTTTAAATGGACACCACCCTTCAATTGCCATTATCATTCATAAGTCAATAGTTGACCTATTACTTCTCCAATTTCTATTGATTTTCCAAGTATTACTCACTTATTTATTGACTTCTATTTTTTTATTGAACATATTAAAGAAAGTGAAGAGTTCCCAAGTTATTAGTTGAGCAGTTGTAGTAGGCATCCTGCCTAAGGCAATGTCTGGCAATCCATCCTTATAAATGATCATCGAAGTGCATACTATATTCTCTTACAGTTTGTTATCATTTGATCACTCATTTCTTCTTTTCATATAGAGTTATGTCATATGATGAGTATGATGTAACATACTTAAATTTCAAAAATTAGAATCTTAAGGATTTTATGGGAGTAAATTGGTAAATTAGAGTACTTAGAGAATTAATAGTGTTTTTAGACTACTAATAGATTTATTGGATCTTTAGACAATCTTAGAAGTGAACTAGGATGGAATTTGAGTCAATCGGGCCTAAAAGCAAGAACAAAATTCAAGTTGGCCTTGCTGTGTCATTCGCTGTAGTGGAGCACCACGCACGGTGGCAGACAAAACAAATTTTTGATAAGTTTGTCATGAGGTAGTTCAAAAATCAAAAGCAGGAAATAGTGAAATGAGAGGCAACAGAAGGAGAGCTTTTACCTACTAGAGCTTCAACTTTTGATCACTTTGGAGGCATTCTATGCTAGAGAATCACTTAGGTAAGCTTTCGATCCATCCTCCATCTTCACTATTCAAATTTTCTAAGGTTTTGGGTAAAATGGGATGATGATTTCATCTTCCCTTAGGTTATGGCTGAACCCATTAGGTTCTTGAGTCAATAAGGAGTTACTTTAAGCATCTATGCTTACGTTTAGTGAATTTATGAAGATTTGAAATTTTGGGCTAGGGCTTAGACGAATCTTAAGCTTAAATTAGAAGTTTGGGAGTTGTAACATCCTAAAAATTTAATCTCCTGTTAATTGAGTTAATTAAGGACAATTAAGTAAGAATTAGTATGATACGTGGACAGAGAGGATTAACAAGTGTTTTGAGTTGTGTTTTCAAACCTAGATGCAAGTCTGGAGTGAGGTTGAGTCACTCGAACCTTAAAATAGGAGAAAAATCAAGGAAAATAACTCTGTGCCACATGTTGCAGTACGTGCAAAGCATGTCGCGTTACATAAGTCATAGAAACGTGAGGAACCCTCTTTATGTCATATGTTGTGGTGCATGGGGACATGCGCTACAGTGCATGGATGAAATCTGACGTAATGAGTCACAAAATCAATTTAAAAAATAGAGAGAGAAGAGAGGTTTGAGCAAGAAAATAAAGGAAAACGCCAAGGGCTTTGTTAGGGCTTGGAGATTTGAAGATTTAAGAGTATTTTAAAGTTTTCAATCACTTAAGGTAAGTTTCTCAAGCCCTAATCTTCCTTCATTTTTCTCGTTTTAATAGATTTAAAAGTTAGGGCTTGATGTAGAAGTGATTTTTGGACCTTTGAGCCCATGAATCCAAATCCATTGACTTAAATAAAATTAATGGAAGTTGTTTAAATTATCTAAACTTAGTATTAATTATTTTTAGTGTCCTTGAGCTTGAGCTTCTCATTATGGACAAAAATGACAATTATTTTAGTTGAGAGGGAGGTTGGACCCCCTAACGATATTTAATGGATTTATTGATAATAGTTGTAGCTAAAGGGAGTGGATAAACCCAATGGGTAAGTCTAAATGCTAGAAATATGAACTTTGGATATTTTGATATTGAAACTATATAAATAGTAATTTTGGATTGTTAGGTGTTGAAATCAATAGTACTCAAGTTCATATGAGTTAATTATAGTTTATGGGAGCTAATGCACACACTGGTGAAGGATAAACTCAAAGGTTGATGTTGTGTAGTAGTTACAGTATTGAAATAGGAAGTTAAGAGATTATAAAAAGTAATATTGATGATTGTAAACTTGATTAATTATAGATTAATTGTCCCTGACACCAAATTGGGCTTGAGGTCAAGCTTTATAAGCATTTGTTGAGGGTTAAACCTTTGACCACTCAAAGGTTTAGGGTAATTGAAGGAATCTATTTTGTGTAGTTGTAAGTTAATTGATCTCCATTGCTAAAATAATATGTGATTAGCAAGAACAGATAGAATTTTATATTGGCAAATTTGTAGCATGTTTTGAGAAACATAAATGAGGTTGTGAGGAGTTGTTTTTAATTATAACATGATAATGAATAATTATGCATTGTTGGGAAAAACTTGATATGATATTATGAGCAATGTGATATGAATATATGATGATAAATAAGAAATGAACTTATGATGCATGGAATGTTGTGATGGTATATGTGTGTGATGAAATGACAATGTATGGATTCATATATTATGCTCACATGTTGTAGCTATTGAATATATGAAAGTGAGTTTGCTATTGTGAGTTGATAACATGCTATGTATGAGCATGAGTAATGCATGATCGTATTAGCAAGAGTTCACCTAGAGAGAGAAGTAGTGATAAAATCCACGTGGTATAGGCTGCTTATCGTTAAAATTGAAACATGTGATATTTGTGAAAGTGTACGATATGTGATTATATGCCTCATACATAGTTTGTTTTAAAATATCAATTAATATGCAATTGCATAGGGTAAAGGAACCTTGATTATTGAGTGGTTGTACTCACTCATCTCTCTTAACATTTTATAGGCTCTATTCTGGAATGGAAAAAGGGAAAAGCACCTGAGGCATAGGACCAAGTGTTCTTATAGTAGGCCTCACCTTAGTTTATTTTATGTGTAATGCAATATTGATATTGCCAACTAGCATTTCATGTTTTGAGTTCATACATTCACTTGAATCAAATACTTGGTGAGATGATATTTGTATTTTGGGCCCTTGATATGGTATAATGTGAAATGATGATGTTGATAGGCCAGAATTATTGGTGCAAGTAAGGTATAAGAGATGGGTATGAATGTGAATGGATGAAAAGAAATTTATTATGACATATATGCAATGCTAGATCTTCCTTATCTGTTTTTAACATTAAGGGATTGTAAGCTAAAATTGATATATTGAAGTTATTTTGCCCATATGGTGTATTGCACATGTAGT